TATTTTACTTTACTAATGTTATTAACTCTCTCCTGTTAATGTTTTATATTATTCCCAGGTTATTACTGTTTTAATCCCTTTGATATCAGAATTGTACTGTTTTACTGGCTCCTGCCACAATAAATTAGATTGATTGATTGCAGCTTGCCGAGCTGGTAAGAGCCAGCATCTCGATGAGGTGGGGCTGGCTGAGGCCCAGAGTGCACTGTGACTTCACTCCCCACAAGGTTGCTTTTGAGGCACAAAGTGGGGCTGACTGGGCGGGGGGGAGCCTCTTGTGCATCCAGGCTGCCCTTCAAGGAGGGTGGGGAGGGCTTATTTGATTGTGGTGCATCCCCCCTCTCCCTGCAAGTAAAAAGGAGGCTTTAATAATTTAATTTAATTAGCGTCCACCCCCAAAAAAATCCTGGCTACAAGGCTGGGGGTGACCTGTCGTCTGAGTGCCGAGGAAGGCATGCCGCTTCACTTGACCATAATAGTGCTTGGTTGGTGCCTTGCAGGCAGCGCTGCTCCCTGTTTTTTAGGTAGAAGCCTGGGACTGTATGTTGTGAATAGCAAGCGAGAGGGGGGCCTGCAGAGGCAGGTGTTTCGGCTCATACATGCACAGAATTGACCCACTTGTCCAGTGAGAAGATGGTGGTGGTTGGTGTGCAGTCATAATGGCATCTCACTCATTGGTAACTTGTGTCTTGTAGACTGGGGAAAGAAAAAACTAGTTTGCACTCTGGTGCTTAAAGGAAGCTTTTTGTGAGTTGGTAGTTTGGTAATTAGGAGCCAATGAGGCAAAAGAACCTTTTGTGTAGTATCAAAGATAGTCAAGCAGGCTGCCCTGTTCCCTTGGTATCTCCTGGAATCAGAAGGCTAAAAGTTTTCCAACAGTTAAAATGCAGAGATTAATTATTTTGTTGGGAGCCAGATTTGGGGCAGTAAAGCAATTGTAGCTGAAAGAGGAGGGAGCACTTTGCTGGCCTGATAGTGAAGAAAAACTCATGGCTTTAGAAGGGTGACACCTTCTAACTAGAACGCAGAAGGCTGGTTGTGTTAGATCTGGGGGGAGGTGGCGGGGGGAAGGAAGGATCAGCCTTTAGCACTCACTTTTTGTTTGCCCTTTGCCCCTGCAGTTAGACTTCGCTGATATTTGGGATTCTTTTTTTCATGATCACTGGTTTAATTTGTATGTACAGTTCATCTTTTGTTTTTATAAAATTGGTATCGTCTTGGTCATGGCTGTGATGTGAAGGTAAATTGAAGTGCAGCGGCCAGGAAAAGCCTGTGGTTCTTTAAGCACTATTCTTCAAAGCAAAGAACCAGAAGAAGATGGCTTAGTTTCCGGAAGGCCTATCCTGGAATACCTGTACAAGCTTTAGGGGGTGACAGGCAGAGAAAGGTGTTTTTATTTCTCATGTGGTTAGTAAAATAATGCTGGAACGGTAAGCTCCTCATTAAGGTCTAGTAACCTGGGATGTGGGTCAGCTGGGCGCTGCCTCCACTCCACTGGTACCGCTGATGTACTTCACCTCAGGCATAAATATCAACACCTTAACTGGTTTTGGTTATTGTACTTTTCCTCCAGATTAAATTGACTAACTGCTGCTGCCACACTGCTCCTCAAAAACTGTGCAGAAAAACTGATTGGTGGAGGAGGCTGAACTGCTGTCCTTGACTAGACAGGTTGAAGTGTGCAGAATTGTACGTTGGCTGTTACACCAAGTAAACATACAACTGTGAACGTTTAGCTTTTAGTGATCCAGTCTGAAATTTGTAGCAGCTTGTATGGAATGGAACTAACCCTCTCTGGCTGAGGACCCTCCGATGTAGGCACAATTTCCAGATCTGGTTTTGTTTTATGGGAGTCAGTGGTGTCACTAGGTGGCGCTGTGTCTCTTCCCCGTGAATGGTTTGTTGTGCTGGTGGCGAATGGGGGTGGGGGAGGCATTTTTGCACTTCTCTCATTCCAAGTATCCTCTTTCAGACTTGGTCAGGCTTCTCAGGTCATCTAAATAAGACTCAGCACAGCAGCATAATTGATCCTGTCTCCTGTTAGATAGCTATTATTTCTCAATAGGACTTCTTGCCACTCTCTGGATAAAGTACTAATTTAGAATTAAATTTAGGAAGTGTGAAGTCTCAGCTTGTGAACTTGAGTTGTCTAGTGTTTTGTCAGCTTGGACTGTAACTTTAAAAGTTCTGGGGTTGCTGTTTAATGCTGAGTATTAGATTTACAATGTTTCAAACTTGAATATTCTGCAAATGCCATGTAACTGCATGAATAGGGTAGATTCCAGCTCACAGCTGATGATTGGGAACTATGTACTTAATTTCTAGTCTAGATCTAGGAGTGGCCATACTTTGGATATTTTGAAAGTGATTGTTATATTGCTGAACTCTTTTTAATGAAGCTTCACTGGTCATAATACTTATGGAAAAATTTCAGAGTGCAGTCAGCAAAATCCATGCGTTATACCTCATCTGAACATGATAACATACCTTAAATTCCAGCAATGTATGTCATTCAACTGATAGAACATCTTGAAGTGTTTCTCTGAAAAGGATTAGCAAACCATAAACCGCTTTTATTATGTGAGCCGCCCTAAGCCTGCCATGGCGAGGAGGGCGGGGTACAAATTTAAATAAATAAATAAATGTCCTGTTCTGTTCTGACACAACCTATGGTACTTGGAGATGAATTATAGGGTCCTGGGCAGCATCTTATTTGCAGACCATAATTTTTAGCATATTAGGACGTGGCGCCTGCAGGCTGAGGTGCCGTAACAGCTGCGGAACAGACTTTGAGCTCCCTTGTTATCTCTTTGAGCCCTTCTGTACACTACCAGTATGACTCCAGGCTTTTCTTTCCAATTGTAAGGCTCAGGAAGTTACTCAGAATGGAAGCTCAGATGTTCAGGGTTTATCCAGGAATGCGCAGTACTGGCGTAGAGAAGGCTAACTCAGAGGGAGGCTCAAGTACATACCCCTCATTTGTATTTCAAAAACAGATTTGCATGAAGACAGTATTAAAGATTGGAAGGTTTATATTTAAATAAACATCCTTTGCCTGTTTACGTCTTGGACGCTTTTCCAATTTAGGTTTTCAGTCTGTTTGTAACAAATAAGAAAAAAAATTACTGTGGTTAGAGCCAAATTGTTTTCCCGTACAACTGGTGTGTATTTCTTTCAAATCCCATCTAATTCCTCCTAGATATTAGTTGGTTATAGCTGCATTTCTGAAATTGGTGAACCATCTGAAATGAAATAAAAAAGGGTCTAAATGAACTAGTCTGCCAGCATAAAAGAATCTTTCTTAGCAATACTTGCAGCTTGGAACATTGCCAGGACTGTACAAGCTGGAGAAAGCAACTGTGCAAGAGACACCGAAGAAGGAAAGGCATGGCTGTCCTGTAGGAAAAAATCACTCTTTTAAAAAAGTCGCTATGACCCCAAACTGTCGTTGCACTTGGGGTATTCCCTGACCACTACTGAGAATATCTTTTGTATGTTGCTGTAGTGCCCAAATCAAAAGTATTGTGAAAAAAAGAATAATATTTATCTACCGCCAGCTTTCTCCTATTTTCCTCTTAGAGATGTGACTTGTATGGTTTATACAGAATGTATTTTCCTGAGCTATAGTTGCTGGAAGTGAATTAGAGGCCCCATTCCCTTGGTGGTGGGGAGCTCCTGCTCCAGTTGCAGCAGCAGGAGAAAAATTAAAAACAAAATAATTGTGTGTAGCAATATGTTCTGTTGTTTTTTTTAAAGGGCACGACATAGGTAGCTCTAGGAGTCACCAGAAACTCTGTGGTGCTGCAGTCAGCATAATGGCTCCTCTATATCCCCACTCACAACCCTCCCTCTGGTGGTCAGGCACTACCTGGCAGCCCAAAAACAGTGAATAAGATTGCTGTTTCTTTTTACTGCATGTTCAGATACTGTGTTAAAATGAGCCACCCCATGACAAAGTGTTCCTGTGGAGGAAGAAATTGGAAGTGAATTGGCTTATAGTCTTCCAAGGCATAGCAATCTGCAAGGCCACTCCCCCCCCCCCACCCCCCCCCCCCATGATTAAGGAGGCACATTTCTCAGTCTTTTGAGTCTGCCAACACTTTTTCAACCCCTTACTTCAGCTTCTGCTTGATTTTTTCTCTCCAATCCTTCACTTGTTCTCTGCAGCAGGTCTCCAATATGTATGCCAGTTGTTGGTTTGTAGAAGCATATATTAATGTGAAGGCTAGACTGAGGCCTCAGGTGCATGACGTGGTGTCTTGACGTGCCTCAGTTCTGCAGAAAGCAAGAGCAGGGATCTGATCTAAAGAACCGTCTCTGTGAGCCTGCCTTCCTGGTATTTTTCTCTCCGTCTCTCTCACTTCTGGTTTCTGACTCTGAGGGGAAAAATAATGTCAAGGGAACAGCATGGCTGGTGGGAGGGAGCGGTGTCGCATCCCCCCCGTCTATGTAAATTCAAACCTCATGTTACGTATGATTAGGAGTTATTTGCGTTTAAATCTACCGCCGCTGTGTATAGCTTGGGCCTAAATGATGAATGTAATCTTCTGTCCCCCTTGCTCATAGATCGCCTTTTGTGGGAGGGAAATATCCACTGCAAAGCTCTGTGACTGAGGTGGACTACTTCAGCTTCTTGTTTTCAACCCTTACAGGTAACTCTTGTGAAAGTAGTAAAGGAATGGAATTTGCTTTCCGCATAATAATACTGTTAGGTTGCATTTGAAGAAAATAACTACAAGATGATTAAAAAGGAGTGCAAAGTGTGAGTAGCAACAGGCCCCTTTCACATTACGGTTCTAAACTGGATGATCTTCTTCGTGGTCTCTGTGCATCACACCCTTGGGAATATACTGCGCCTGCGCTGACCTTCTCGGTACCGGTAGCTAGCAAAAGGGATTTTCGCGCCTCTCCCAGGTCACGCGCCGGCTCCACTGCGCATGACCAAGGAGGGGCACGCAGATCCCGCCAGTTCCTTCTGACCGCCGCCCAACAGCCTTCAAAGAAACAAGATGGACTGCTCAGGAAGGGTTTAAACCTAACAGCTGACGAGTGGACCCACCCCACTGTTAGGTTTAAATGGCTTGCAGTCATTTAAACCTAGCAGCTGATAGGCGAACCCCATGCCGCTCAGCTGTTAGGTTTAAATGGCCCTGAACAACCAAACTGGACAAAAGTTCAGTGAATCAGGGAAGGCACCTTCTCCAAATGTCAGTTCACGGGCTCCGAACTGGCCCAAGTGTGAGTTGGTTTGTGCCCATCCCTAGTTTTATGTCCCATTTTGGGATAGTTAAGCATGTGCATAGGCCTCCCCTTGCAATTGGTGTGACTTAGGCACTTGTAAAAGGAGGCTGTTGAAAATACTTTCCTGATCATGTAAGAAGAGTCTTGCTTTGACTGGTGTTTTATACTTACACGAAGTGTAAGAATGTCCTTATGAGCCTCTAGTATATTTCTGCTGTAGGCAAAATAATGGAACTGTGGTTCGTTTTGGGGGTTTGAGTCAAATTTTCGGCAATTTCTTTCCCCCAGGCTTTTCCAAAGAAGAACTGACAAGCCTGCAGAGCATTAGAGGAAGACCCCACATCAGCCAAACACAACTGTCTCCTGTCCAGCTGTACCTGACAGATCTGGATCAGTTTTTGTATCACTGGGCTGTGACAGAGGTAATGTCATCCATGCTGAGAAGTACTGCTGTTCATTTCCTTCCTTCCTTCCTTTTTTTTTTTTAGGATAGGCTTTTGCAGACTTTCCAAGGGTGAGAAATGTTTGTTTAGAATAAAATTCTAAGCAGAATTAGCAGGGCGGCTAGAATAAGGGGATGCTAATATTGGCTGCAGCTGACAAATCGTTTATTTCAGGGCAGTCTGACTGAAGCCTAAGGACAACATCAGAGTAAGTGGTTCCTGGGCGACAGCCATTGACGGCACTGCCCAAGTAATTGCTTTTGCTTCTTCCTGCAAGGCCTGTTGGCCTTAGCAACCTTTGCGTTATAAGGGTGAATTGAAAGGCTTGCTGGTCATCAGTTTCTGTCCATCGCCTAGGAACCTGGCAAGGAATGATGGGTTCGTACTGATTTGAGCTGGAAATGTCCTGGTGTTTCGTCTGCATTGCTATGCAGCAAGACCTCTTCTCTTTGAAAATCAGCAGAGGGGGAATTTACTTTGCTTAGCTAAGCCTGTTGCAGTGAGGAATGTTGTGATTTTAATGAAAGGTGCAAAATTTCCTCTCCGGTGGCTTTCTCCTTAGCATGTATTTGCCTTTTTCCTCCTGGCTTTACCAGCTGGGGGAGAAAGTGAAGCTGGGCTTATGTATGAGGTGGTTTTCTCAAACCTTAGGAAGAAAGGTTGCTTTTCTCTTTTTGCCACTCTACGATGACGGTGCTTTGATTTCTGGAGACACTGTCTGTCGCTTTTGACTTCTTCTAGTTCCAGCTCTTCAGTGGTTAGTGATAGTTCATATATTTGGCCATAGTGATCTGTGCTTCCAGGATAGAGCACTGTAATGTGCTTAATATGGGGCTGTCTTTGAATGAAATCTGGGCAATTCAGTTGGTGCAAATATATGTCAGCCTGTCCGTTAAAAGGCTGTTGGGAGTACCTTAACCTTCACTGGCTGACAACTGGGGTTTGGGGCCAGTTCTCGCTACTGATGCTGTCCTTTAAAGCTCTTCATGACCTGGGGTCACATGTCTGAAGAATTGCCTCTTCCAACATGCTCCTGTGTGATGGCATCTTCATTCTTCCTAGTAGCAGCTCTTGGCAGTCTTCAGCAAACTCTGTAACCATCTAGGCTTGGGCTTTTTTAGCGTCTTCTTCGTGCCTGTGGAACAGCCTCCTAGATGAGGTCCAGAAGGGTTCTACCCTCCAGCACTGCTGTAGCAAAGAAAATTTGGAGCAGTCTGAGTCTAGGCTACTGGAAACAGATAGACGTGTCTTAAAGCAATGGTTTCAAATGTTGATTTAAGTTTATTTTATGTTTCGCTGTTTTTAATCATGTGATTTTGTATGGTCTTGCTGTTGGTCAAGGGAAAGGTGGGCTTAAATATTTTGAGGAAGTGTTCTAGTTGATTACTGATGTCCAAAATTAGTTAGGGCCCCTCCTCATGGTTACTAGCCCTGTTTTCTGAGCCGGAGTAGTTAACCCTTTCCTGACTGCCTTACTAAGGCAAGAGATTTTTCTGTTGTCTAAGGCCCCGAACCCAGTGCTTCTGCTGCTGGGTTTTGTTCATAATGTGTCCCTCTTGTGGTAACATTGGACTGGCATCCTGAAGCAGTACTTCAGGAATATGTCTAGCAGCAGCAAGGTAAAAAACACATATTGTTCTCCTATAAAAGAGGAGGTTGAGGATGGGTATTAACATCCTGCACAAATAGATCAAGGGCTTGATCTTACCACGGCTTGATTTGAACCTTTGCTTCCTGAGAAATGGCACATGTGTGATTCCAAAACTGGCTTGCCAAGTAACATAGCCAAAAAATGGACATGAGCCAAATGGGTTGACTGTAGTATTTTTCAGGAACTCTTAGGACGGTTCATTTCTGGCATTGCGAGCCAGGTGTAGGAAGACTGTATTGGTGTAAGGCTGAATCCCTTTGACGTAGTAGTGCCAGCTGTGCTTGGTATATTCTTTCTTAGTCAAACCGATTTTGCTTTCAGATGACGGCACAGGTAATGTGGGCTGGGTTGCAAGCAAGCCAGAACCCTCTGAAGCACTTCAGTTTCTCAGTGTATTCTCATGCCAGGAGCAGAATCTTTTGTGACATAAATAGGTTTGACAGGGCAGAATTACCAGTGGTTTGAATGGTTGTTAAAAGCTGCTTTGACATGAGAGGGCTAAACTCATGAGATGTAGAAGGAAAAACACTCCTGATTCAGTGACCCAGTGCCAAAAAGAACAAGGATAACATTTGAAAAAGTTCAGGATTAAAAGGGGGAAATCATAAAAGCCACCTTGCAAATCCGTATTACTCAAGGCAGTGGGGAATAGGGTTGCACTTTGAGGCAAAACAGTGCAAATTGGTAGGATGGTATGTGGAAGTTACAATTAAGGAATTCACTTGGAGTGCTTTTCCATAATTTTTAGTGGAATTAATATTTTGATGTTTGGGCAGAAGGATGGCAATTCTGTTTTTAGTCTAGGGGGCTATATTCAAGTTTCCCTACTTGTTCACTATAGAAAATGTTCAGTCACACTGTTATGCATACGTATATTCGTTCCCCCTCGCCTGCCCTGGAGCTTTTGTATTTGGAGAGTAGGGTGCTGCTGTGATTTGCTCTCAGTCGTTGCTGGCCTGTAATTCTGTGATATAAACACACGTGGCCCCAAATTTCCCTCCATTCTCCTGGCCATTAGAAAAAAACAGGACTGTCCACTAGTTAAGATTTTCATCCCAAGCCATGCTGCATGTGCCCCTGCCTAGAATAACAGTGCATGTGGCACCCGCAGAGACAGGTTCTCCCCCCCCCAGTGGGTGGCACCCCACCTATGGAATGCTTCCCCTGCCTAGAAGGCCACCTTGTGTCTATTCGTTAAACTTTTAGTTGGTGGGATATTTTTATATGGCTAGGCTTTTAGTGGAGTTGCTATTTCATCCTGACTATGGGAGGGAAGGACTGGAGGGACAGTGGGAGATGAGAGAAATAAAGAAAGGTGTGTGAAGGATAGAAGCAAGGAGAGGGGAGAAGCTGTGAGGGCTACAAAGGGGAGGAAAGGGGCAGGCAGTGGGAGATTAACTGGGGTGGTGGTCAAACACACACCCCCCCAATCCTTGCAGGCCCCCTGCTTGTTTTGATAATCTTATACTGACCTTATTGCTGTTTTCATTGCTGGTTTGTGGTTAGTTGTCTTTTGTTTTTGCCAGATGATCATTTTAGTTTTATTTTTGACTGATTTTGATTGGCTGCTATTGAGTTATGTTAAGTGGTATATTTTGTTTTATGATTTTATGTTGTGGGTGACCTCAGTTCTGTTCTGGGGTGACAGCAATAGGAATATGTGTTTCCTAGGAGGCTTCTGTCTGCAAATGTGTTTCAGACACTAAGTGATCTGAGAAAAGAAATTGAATTAGCAGTTGGACTGACAGCCATACCCACCTTCCCTTCTGGTTAAACTTCCATACATGGGTAGAAGAAAAAGATTTTGTGCACAGGTGCAACCATTCCTGAAAGGACACCTGGCTCTATGTCATCATCATTTCTTGTTTAGTACATACCATAATGTTCTAAGAATAAATCCTAGGAAATTGTGTGTTTTTTAAAAAAATGAAACTAATAAGATGTGTAAATATAAGTGTCGGCATGATTTTCAGTTTGATAATGTAGAAGGTGGAGCTTGTTCTCCATTTCAAGCAGGAAATGTTTATTAGCATTGGATCTGTAGCCTCAATATTGACCACAGCCTGGGAGCAATTTGTTCTTGCTGCAGTCAGCTTTTTGTCCCTGGAGGGCTCATGTCAACACGGGTTTGCTGACTTGCCAGGTTACCAGATAAGGCTTCTAAAGAATGCTGTCATTTTACTTTCTTGTTTGTCTGTTCTCCCGCAGTGTGCAGTAGCCAAATACTTTAAGATTTTTTAAAATTACCTTTTTTATTGTCTTCCTTTGAAAACTTCAAATTAAAGTGTGGTAAGGAAGTATAACTGAAGCTACCTTCTCGTGATTCACAATGCCCCGAATTTGTTCAGGTTGCTGCAACTTAGTGTGACATGACAAACAGATAATAAACCTGGTGGGGAATGGGCATTATGTGCTTCTTAGCTTAACCACTCCCCCGACGTTCAGCCCAACACCAGCACAGACTGGGTCTGTGCTTGTTCACCCCCTGTCATTAGGAACCCTCAAAAAGCAGCAGTCCTGATCGCATAAGTTCTATGTTGATTAGGCTGAATGCTGAACCCACTCCCCCCTCCATGCATATTGCCTTATGTCATTACAGCAAGAAATCAAATTCAGGGCTTATAGAGGGGACAACAGAAGTAGGCTGAATAGGCTGTTCGTGCAACAACGTCTGGAAGTGAATCATCTATTTTTTGTGTTCTGATGATGGATTAATAGACAGCAGTGTGTTTGAATTGAAATTTCAAGTAGAGACCTACTACGTATGCATAGTAAACAAATACATCTTTGCATGCTTTTTTGTTCTTGTTATTGTAACAGATGGTGAGCCAGTGCCTGTCTGCTATACCTTCTCGAAGCCAGTGTATAGATATTGTCCAAAGTGGCATTTGTAAGTACCTGGTAGGTAGTATTTTTAAACGTATTCCATGTTCAATCTGTTCCTGTATTTTCATTTGAAGCCAGTTATTCACTGTGGTAGTAGAAGTCTGGTGTGGATGAATATGTTTGCTGCCTTTGGCGGGGCTTGTGAGTTTGAATTGCAGACTTCTAAGTGATCAGAACCGGTATCAATTCATAGGACATAGTTTTTCACCTTATAAGCTGTTGCAGAAATGTTCATGTTATCTTGACGATCGTAAAACCAGTGAGCTGCACCTGCCAAGTTAAAAGTGAAAGCAGTAGTAGTGTCACCTTGGCCACCAGTATTCATTGATCTCTCCTGTATGAAGCAGTGTGGCTATAAGGCCATACCATTTGCTGTATAGTTTAAAATTGTGATTCCTCATTCTTACTCTTTAGCCTACAGATGGCCAGTGCCTCTGTTATGCATGTAAACCTGGCTCCCAAGCAATGCTCCCTCTAAGCTGTGGAGTCTTGTGAGCAAAACTTATACTTTGTGAGCTACAGGCATGAAAGTTGTGAGCGAGCAATTTGGCTACTGCATAAATTAGTTTGCTCTGGAGCCCTCCTTCCTGAGCGAAGACAAAGATGTGTGAGCCGGAAGCTAAAAAACTGGGAGCTAGCTCACACTCAGCTGAGAGAGAACACTGCTCCCAAGACATCCAATGCTGCAGTGTGCCTTATTCCTGCAACCATATTTCTCTGCCACATTCTCACGGTGTGTCTTGAGCTTCATGTGCTGCACCGGGTACTTCACTATTGGTGATTTAAGTAGGTGTCAGTTCATGAGATCGATGCAACTCAACTTCCACTAGGAAGGGCGGGCAGATTTTATATTGGAAAAAATGTAACTGCTTGAAGGGCAAGTGGGAGTTATTGCTGGAATTGTCCTCTTGGACAGCTGCAAGAGGCTATGTGAAAGGTAATGAATTTGTTTTCTCTCCTAGGCAGGGCTGACTGTAATACCTGACAGCACGGCTGGATCTGTTTTGTGTGCCATTAGTAAGCTCTTGGATCAAGCCTGCCTCCTTAATGAAAATCTCTCCAAGTTCCTGGCTTCTCTGTGCTGCAGCCTCCTTTTCCTCCTTTTAACGATAGAGAGAGAAGATGAAGAACACCTTCAGAAGAGGTAAGCTTTTTAATGTTGGCACTTAACTCTGAAAACATCTGCATCTCTAACAGCCACTTCAGTAATGTTTGGCAAAGAACTGCTGCTTGCGCAGGAGGGTATAGACTGTGGACCCAATTGTATCCCCGCAAACAGTCACCTTAATCTTTGGATTTAGCCTGTGGTTTCATTAGGAACCAGAAAAATTAAACTTAAGATACTGGATTTTATTAGCGTCCTTGTTCTAAGACACTATTGGCTGTTAAGTAGTCTAGTCCTCGAACTCACCAGCGTTTTATAATTTAGAAGAGTTTTCAGGAATGGCAACGTGCCATTTTTTAAATTGCGTTGAGCCCAAAATAGGCTAAGGATAAATCAAATAAGTGTGTTTACTTCTTCATTCGGGATGCCTTTTAGGAGTTTCTTTTTTCCATAGTAGGAAGTGTAATCTGATTTCAGGTGTTTCCTGAACTTTTTCTGCATTCGTCTTCAGGCTTTTAAAAGTAATAATAGTAATAGAATGCCAGGCATTCCAAGGCAGTGTGTAACGTTTTGTGTGATAACTTTGTTTTTTCTTCTTTGCATCCATTGAACTGTTAGAAATCTGTCCTTCAAAGCCTGTATCGTTCACCTGTCCTTTCACAAAACTTGTAGCAAATTAAGGAGTACACTTGGTCCTCCCCCACCCCCCGTTCACTGGCTGTGTCTGTGCTCTCATCTGCTACCTGCAGGGATGTACTGTGGGCTTCCTGTATCTCACTGCTAACTGCCCTGCCTCGAGTGTTGCGGCTAATGTTGCAGAGTCTTCAAGTGGGCAGAGTCCGTCGGGAAGAACTACCTGTCCTTGCCCAGCTCCTTCGTTTGTTAATGCAGCATGGACAGCTACGAAGTCATATGGTGACCAATGAGTTCCTGGTGAAACAGATTGTCAAGGATATTGTGGTAGGAGGCCATTTTTCTCACCGTGTTTTAGTCTCGCTGCAGTGTGAGCATGACTGTGCAGCTGGCCCAAGCCCACAAGTTGCCAACCTGTCCTTTAATGAGAGCTACTTTCGAGTAAGGAGAACTATCCTGAGTTTCTCTCCTAGAAACGTGTAGACTGGGAAGAGCACCAGAAATAAAGCCACTGCAGCAGAGAGAATTCTTGTGAAATAAAAGCTGGGGGGGGGGGGGGGGGGGGGGATAGAGCAGATCTTTTCAGGTCTCTTCCTGGGTCTTGTAGGGACTGCACGAGCTAGTAGACCCTTGCCTTAGCCTGGTGCCCACATTTGGAAGCTGGTCTTTGTTTCCCTATGAGATGGCCCTTGGTACATTTTTACCAAGGCCAGTTCTCAAGCTGTCTACCAAGCATTTCAGGCTCTCTTTTTTTTTTCCGGGTGTGTGTGTGTGTGTGTGTGTCTCAGAAGTTTTCATGTTGTTTTTACAAAAGGTTCTCTTTTGTTGCGGTTAAGTCTGATTCCAAGTCAGTTCAGTTATTTTACCCATAAGTAACATTAACTGTCATTTGGTATGATCTAGAAAAAAACCCTTAATTTGACAACTTTAGCTTGTTTCCTACAGTATGCTGAAAAAAACAGTATTTATTCTAAAACTGAGCATCCAGCTGCATGGCTTGAAGACTCCAAGCTATAACACAGTGTGTTCTGATTGACAGGCGCTGAAGAGTGGCGATGCCCAAGAGCAGTGGCTGACAGACCTTCATTACTATTTCAACGTATGCCTGGCCTCACATCCCCAGGGAGCTGGTGCCATTAACACAGTATATTAAGGAGAACGTCTGCATTTAACTGAATGTGTTTTGTTTCTGTTACGGATGCAAAATATCAATTTTATGTGCAAATTAAAGTTTTTAAAAATCTGTTTGCATTTTGGTACCAAAAAAGTTACTTTTATTGCCCTGGTAGAGAAATTTAAAAACAATTGGTCCTGAATGCATAGCTTTTTGAAAGCAACTGATTGCCGTAGGAGACAGTAAAGGACAATCCCGGTGTCAGAAGAGAAAGACAATCTAAATGCTCGTTTGTGCAACTCCGTATAGAATGTTAAAAGAAAAGTAGATAATTCAATATTTTTCCTATAAAGGGGTTAACTTTTTCTTTCCTTGCCACATTAAGCAGAACTTCAACTTGGCCTGCATGTAAATACCAGCTCAGGCATATCACTTCAGCAGTAGCAAGATGCCTCCTTGCGGATCTGGGCCTTACAGATCATAGAGGTGGACCCGGAGAGGTACTCTCACTACAGTGCTTTAAGGCACCACACAAGATGGCAGGCTCCCAAGTATAGCAGGGCTGGGAAAGATGAGAGTGTGGAGAGCTGAGACCGCAACTAGATGAGAGACAACAGTGGTCTGGGTCGGTATAAGGCAGCTTCATCTGTGTCGGTGACATATAGCTTACCTCTGTAAGAGCACCCCATACCCTTAGTTGCTACTGGTTCAAAATTGCTTGCCCTGGAAAGGGCAAACAAGCAAAGTGCAATAAGGTTTTATATTGTTTGGCAAGCCTAGAGTAAACTGCTTTTTGATCTAGTGCAATACCAGGTTTTAAAACAAAAACAAATAAATCATGTATTTAGACTTTGAGTGGTGGCTCTAGTTTTCACATCTAAACACAGACGAATGCTCCCATGTCTGCTGTTCAGTCAAGGAGGCCAAGGAAGCTAGTGGCTCCTCCTTCCTCGGGTGCTGTGGGCACTCCCAGCCTCAGGCATGGCATGAAGGAGGGGGGCAGTCAGTCCGTCCGTCCCCCCCAGGCTCTGCCACGGCCTCCTCTCTTCAGCTCACTTCTTCACGCTTTGAAGCTAGCATGGGTCCTCTACAGCCTTTGCAAAGCACCCATGCTCTTAAAGCTTCCTTGTCACTTGGGCATCCAGGTCATGTTGTGCATCTTCATAAGGCCTGTGTGCCTGCCTGCCTGAGCTCTCGATGTGTAGTCCCAGCAGCCTGCAGCTTCCGGGTCTGCCGCAGCTCTTTCTTGCTCTGAAGGATCCTCACCAGTATTGAGGGAAGGTGCTCTTTCCGTGCATGTGGATTTGTGTCAGAAAGTGTTCAAATATTGTATAGTTTAATGGACTCCCATATCCACTTGAACAATGATGAGGTATGCCGTGACATTATTTATAGGCACTCAGGTAGTATAACATGAATGGAAATGCTGTTTTTCAGAATCAATATAATGTCCATGTAGAATTGATTTTCCTTTGCGCTATAATTCAGTCTTGCATTCATGCCTTGATCTTATGTGCTTTGTTTTGACTGTGGTGGAGGGTCTCATATTATATGAATACTGCTTAAATTTCCCTGTGTTCTCCAGCACACTCAGGTACTGCAATCCGCTTGCTGCAAAACAAAACAGAAAATTAGTTAATGTCCAAGACAGACATAGTGGTCCATTAGAGAAAATGCAAAAGCAGCAAACTGTGTAAGAGCATAAGAAAGAGCCCCACTGGATCAGTTTGGTGATCCATCTCACCCAGCATCCTGTTTTACCCAGGCCATCCAGATGGCCCTGGAAAATGTACCGCAGGGCATAGAAGCCAAGGCCCACTCCCTGATGTCACCTCCAAATATTGGGTTTCAGAGGCTTACTGCATCTCAATAAGGCATTTTTCTCACAGCCCCTTGGTGGACTTCTCCTCCATGAATCTGACTAATCGCCTCTTAAAGCCATCTATGTCCGTGGCCATGGTTATGTCCTATGGTGGTGAATCCCACATGACTTTTAAGTAATAATGTCTTGTGATATTTTAGTTCCCTGGAAAAAGCTTGAGCAGGGGAAGAGAAAAAGTTGATGCAGAAAAGGGAGGGAAAGCCCTAAAGTTTTCAGTTGTGGCAAAGTAGATGCAGCTGAGTGTAAAATGCATTTCATGTTGCAGCAAGAGCTGCTGGGACAGAGAAGCATGTTCATATGAAGTTTTTCTCTACTCAATTTTGCCTGACCCAGATGAAAACCATCAGGTGGTTAAAAATTTTACCCAAAGTGGACACAGAACCTCAAACAACCATTGGCAAGGTAGTTTCTCTGAATGGCTTGCTCTGCTTTCTACTGTGTCCTCATTATGTAGTCCGGAAGGGGGGGGGTCACCAACCTTTTTGAGCCTCTGGGCACCACAAAATGGCTGGGGCAGCTTCCCTTCAGTCATGCAGTGAATGTCTTTATGCTGTGGTGGCAGCTGCTGCCAAAGTAAAGCTTTTAAAAATCTGTCCAGCCAATCAGGAACTTTGCTGGGCCAAAGCCCCACCTGGCCATGCCCACTTTCTCAAAACATCTGGCGGGCACCACGCTGGGGACCCCAGTCTACACTGGAGACACACAGAGACTAAAAGCAAGTTCTCAGAGAGGGACCTTTCTGGCACAAGGCGAGGGTGAACACTTTATCGTGTGGATGGGAGCGGAATGTGTAAGTTGGTGTAAGAATGGGTGATGTGGTATCCCTCTAGAAGTCATGGCGTGCCTTGTACCTTCAGTCTTTCCGTGACCCAAATACACATTCAGTTAGAAGTTTCTGTGAGAAAAGGCTTACTGGCCGTCTGTCCAAGCAGCATGCTGCGCCCTCTTGCACACCTATCGTTGTGTTCTTTCACTGGTATAGCATAGCTATGATGGGAAAGAACAGCTCCACACAGGCGACATCTGTCCTGGATGATGTAAGAAGCCCCGCGATGTAGCAAGAAGCACTAGAGCTCCCCGTACCTCTTAAAACACCCCAAACTACTTTTCTAGCTTCAGTTCCCCGGCAGCACTAGAAACACGCCCCCTGCCCGCCAGGGCTTTTCGGTTTGTTTTTTTAAATTGACAACTGGATAGTATTGTAACATTTGAACCAATTGGCTGTCATGTGGGCAGACCCAGGAAAATCAGACTTTCCCCCACTGAAGAAGAACTTTGTTCCCAAAACTTCACAGAAAAGCAGCTTTGGGAAAGATTGGACCTGAGGTGCACGGATGCCCCTACAATACTGTGGGGAAACCGGGGGGGGGGGGGGGGACACACACACCACCCATGTGCAAAAGGTCTAGAGCTGCATGGTAGAGAATGCACCGGTGCCTCCTAAAGCAGCAGCCCTGTGCTGCTCTCTGCAAGGTGTAATGCTACAAAATGTGCAATGGGGCAGGATATCCTTGTGCTTTGTCCCTTGCCCTGTTCCAGTGAGGGCGGCATATCCTGGAAGAATTGACGCCGTGATACATGCTTTGCAGCACTACAGGTTCAGGGGAGGCAGCGAGGAGGCTCTTTAAATGGAAACTCTTGAATAATTTTGTTTTGGATGCAAAGAGAAACAAGCCTTGTTTCTCCCCCCTCCCCCTCTTCAGTTTTAAGCTCTGTGATCTTAATTCAACTAAGGGCCTGCATCTACCAGACCTTGAAGGGAAAGGGGGTGGTGGTGTATTTTGAGGTAACTGAGTACATAAAAGAGCAGGAGTCCAGCAGCACCTTAATGACTAACAAAATTGGTGGCGGGGGAGGAGTTTTTGTGATACCAGGTATCTGAAGAAGTGAGCCGTGACTCACGAAACCTCCTCCCCCTGCTACCGATTTTGTTAGTCTTTAAGGTGCTGCTGGACTCTTGCTCTTTTCTGCTGCTACAGTCGAAGTAACACGGCCACCCATCTGGAGAGTACACAGAAGACTTTATAGTTTCAGTGGGAAGTTAATTTTCGGGCTTTCCTGTCCGTTGGAGCTGGTTCTTCCTTATTTCCTCCCCCCCCCCTCGGTCTCAGAATTCACAATACGGTATGTGGCACTATGATGGCTCTGTCGCAGTGACGGCACACAGTTGTAAACATTGTAAAGGCAAAAATGTCAACTGGAGAGAGCCCTGGGTGGTCCCACCTGCGGCCACAAAGCTCCTCGTTCTTGCAGACGGACAGATCCCCTGGGCTGCCAAACTTTCAGATTGATGTTGAGCAACCTTTGGCAGTCATTTAATTGCAGTCTGTTTTGGGAAACAGTTTGGACAAATAAATTCTCTATGGTCTGTGGTGGATGCACACTACATAAAGCACTGCTGGAAAACAGTACCAGCTTTTGAATGCAGCCATCTACCTACACGATTCAATCAAGCTGCAGCTGAAATACGTTTTGGCATTTAAGACTATTGATGCAGCAACTGTTCGTATGGGAGGGGGGGAAATGGCCACAGGACCTCCCCCCCCCCCAAGCGTTAACCTAAAGCCCTCAGACAAGTCTTAAAGCAAACTTCTGTGATCACAGTTTGTCCCTCTGGTACCGTGCTCATGTTTGAGATACTCTGTACTACATTATGTTCGGCAGAATTTTACACCCATGGCTTTTAGGTGGCTGCTGCTTACATAATTTTAGATGCCTTAAAACCACCGACTTGTATGAGAGCTTCTCTTTCAGAGGGCAGCAGGTGGTAAGCCTCTGAAGCTCAGAACTTCTCTGCATATGCCCTGGACGGGGTGTGCGTCTGTCTTGTTTGCTTCCCCCCTGAGTACCTCCCTTTCAATAAGCTGCTTGGGAAGTCCCCCTTCCCCCCCCCCCAAGTCTGCAGAGCATCTTGCCTGACAGCAGGGGGGCTGCATTAGGGAGCACTCAAGAGGCTCGATACGCAGCACTCTGTATCCCGGCCGGAGAAAGTCCTCGCAGCCGGCTGCCCTTCCTGCTTAGCTCCTTCTCCTGCTTCCACCTCTTCTCAGCTGCCCCAGTGTCATGCAGTGCCTAGAGAGTTGGAAACACAAGGTCCAAAGCCACCGAAGCTCCCTTGGTTCACCCACTGACTCAGCCTAACCTCCTTGGAGGGGATACTCTTGGAATAAGATGGTGGGTGGGGGGAGTGGGAAACCATGTGCACATCCTGTGCTCCTTGGCAGGAGGGGGGGGGGCTGGCCCAT